AATTTATTCTTTGGCGCGCGAAAGAATGTCGCTGCGAAAGAAGGAAAAAGAGAGCGTCCCATAACAAACCCTTTGGCGAAGGTGTTCGGAGGCGAAGGTCGCGTTTTAACGAAATTTCCTACTAAAGGGAATAATTTGCGCGACGAATCCTTTACACTTTCCTTCTCCCTTAACCGACAGTAAACAGAATTAATTTTCTTCTTATCTTCTAGAAAGAGAGAGAGAGACACCTTCCATCCTCTTTGATATTCTCCATCGGTTGTAAATAATTGAACAATCCCGTGTCGTCGCTACTCTGAGACCACTCTTCGTTATCCCGACACGAGTCGTTCGGCCGCGGAAACAGGTAGCCTTAACACCTCTGAAGGAAAAGAAAATTCCTCTCTTAAACTGGTCCACGTATCCGGCACGTTGCGTGCGTTGCCACGTTAAATGGTCGACCACGTGAACGATCGAGGAAAAAGAAAAAAGAAAAAAGAAAAGGAGTGAGTGACTTTAACTCTTTTTATATCCACATAATTTTTAACACCGTTCGCTCTTCTTTATTTTAAAGCAAATTTAAATATTTGATTTCAAATGATTAATAAAACTATATATATATTCTTCAAGTGTAAAAAAATACATTCCAAACAATCGAATGCTCCAATCGATCGAAGATGTTGTCAACCGAATTTTGTTAAGCTCGAATTTCGAAGGACGACGAGATGGTGTCTCTAATCCTTAAGTAATTAACGGGATTGATCCACGTCGAGTCTCCGATACGAGGCCAAATGCCGTGACGTCTGGTGGTCTTCGATAAATTCCACGCATCCACTTGTACTACGTAGGTACAACGTGCATGCCACGCAGGTAGTATACGTGGCGAAGTGGCACGATGCCGGGACTTGCGCCCTTGTTACGCTCCCACGACACGTACACTCGCGATGTAACGGTAACTACAGTTAGTACGTGCTAAGTGTGCACGGCTAGGGATTGCCCTATTGGCAGTTCTACGTATTCCGCCGCTCTGGATTATACATACGTGGATAAACACGCCTTTGAACGGCTTGTCGCGCCACGCATTATCGCGCCGATTTATTCTTCTTTTCCTCGCCTTCTCTCTCCTTTTCCTTTTCTTTTTTTTTTAGGTTTTTTTTTTTTGATTTTCTTATTTCTTGGCTCGTACGATAAGGGATGATCGGTCGATGATTCATCGTTGGTAGAAATTGATCGCGATGGAAGTGATAGAATCGACGATCGCGCGGACATCTTTTGTTAAGTATACGTTGAGGTTTATATTTTGGTGAAAAAGGGGAATTTAAATCTCTACTAAATTATCGGCAAATAAGTGGCGGTGCTTCTTTTCGAAACAGTCGATTCTAGGAGAGGCGGCAGAATTGTTTAATGCTTTCGTTCGAAAACGTAAACAAACGTTTATAGGAAAGTAAATTTAAAAAGGGAATATCCTCTTACTGCGAATCTCCAGCTCTCTTTCTCTCTCTCTATGTATATATATATATCGTCTCCCCCGATTTTTCTCGGTATCTTTTCTAAACTTTTATTGTACATCATGCCGGACAAATGATCCTTTACCTCGCTGCAACAATATCGAGGCTATTTTTAGTTACGGTGCACAACTTTAACGATTATCATGTATCTTGGATAAAAGATAGTCAATAACTGGAAATTGCTTCGGGGATAACTTTGCGTATTCAAACTTCAAAATTACATAATCAAATACAATCTCGAAAGTTGGTTTCGATTTTCTTACAGACAAATTTCATAATATCGTCGATCGTATCGAAGAGATTCGCGAGAGATGGACGTTTTTCAAGGAAACCTTGAATCGAGAAATGATTAATTATTCGCGATTAAAAAAAAAAAAAAAGAAAAAAAAGAAAGAAGAGAGAAAAAGGAGAAAAATAAAAGAGATATATCGTATGGTTTAACGAGCAACTTCAAATAACCATGAAGGAACGAGGTGAATTTCACGATGCGAAATCAATGCGAGAGCAATTTGTAATCAGAGCCTCGTCGCGATCGCACGAATGAAATTGCCGTACTCGACTTACAGCAACAACTGAGAAAATTGGAGCGGCTGTGCGACAGTAAACACCGTTCGAAAAAAGAAATCCAATGAACGAGAGAGATAGAGATAGAGAGAGAGAGAGAGAGAGAGAGACGTACATAGCCAATCGACGGATAAAGGTTCGAGTGTACCCCTTGAATATCTACCATCCCAAAGGATCCGTCCCACCAACTTTTCAACCCTCGTCTATTCGACGATAGAATTCAAGCTTCGATAGGTATCCGTATCGAAAACGGAACAACCGTGTTGCGTACAGCCACGGTTTCCATTGTAATCCAGATACAGCACCGGTACGTGCTAAGTGCGCGCAGTTAAGTGTCCCTCTATCCGCGGATACATCCACTCCACGGATTCGGTTTACTCGCGTCGACGATGGAAAGGAGATACACGCGCGTTCGCGAAACGAAACGATCTCTCTGGAACGGGAGAGAGAGAGAGCGAGAGAGCGTTCCGTCGCGAATCGGGGTCCACACGCGTATCGAAACGGGGTCCTCCCGCACGGAATAGAGGGCACTTGCGACACGATGGAACGCGATACGGTTTCGATACTACGCAACGTTAAAGCGCCTAGGAGATGCCGAGGAGATTTCGCTGGGCAACGAAGAAAGATTCTGGCAGGAACGTCGTTCGAGTAGCGACTACAAAGTCCTGGCTACGCGCCAATGTCGTTTCTTTTTTCTTCTTCCCTTCCTTTTTTTCCTTTTCTTTTCTTCTTTTTTTTCTTTTTCTCTTCCCTCCCCCCGTTTTTCCGCGGCTTTTGTCAAGCCGGTGGCCGAGTTATAAATTTTTAATCGAGCTGTAACGTTTCGTCGAGGCTCACGGTAAATGTTTATTAGCCGGTAATTACTGGGGGATAATTGCTCGGGGCCGGTGGTAGATCTCGAGCAGTCGAGGGACGGAGTCGCGCGCCGGTCACGAACGCTAATCGAGAAAAGTCGACATCCGTAATGGGAGCAATTAATTCCTGGCGATCAACGTTATTACTTTCACGAGCATCTTAGAAAGCCGGCACGTATATATGTATATATATATATATTCCAATTTCTATGCGGGTCACATCCAGATCAGCCGGCCTTGCGATCCTCCCTCCCGTAACTTTCCGCCCCCTCGCGCACCCTACAAGAAGTTAGCACTTCTTTTATGGACGCCGGAATTGGAACACAGAATTGCGGTAGTTTCGCGGCAAAAGTATCAGAATGTTACGTATGAGATAAAACGGGAATAAAAATCGTCGAACCGCGTTGCTTTCGCGCGATACTTATAAAACCGCGTCGAGGAAATTATTGAAGAGAGAGAAAAAGGAATCGTATTGCATCGAGATAAACAAAGACGATTAGAAAACGTTGTATTCATCGTAAAATAGACTTCGATCCGGATAACGCGTTCGAAAATTCTCGCCACGAAATATTTCTTCTACAAAATGCGAAACTTCATTGATCGGAAAATTCGACCGTTTCGTTTACGTATTTTCTTTGACGAGAAATACGTAAATACGCGTGTATCAAACATCGATCGAGCAGGGAGGGAAATTGATTAGTGGAAATTCATCGTTGAATCACACTTGACAACGCTTCGTACTTTTTTTCCCCCCGCCAATTTGTCAATTTTTCGACAATAGAAGGGACAAAAAGAGGACGAAAAGAGAATACGGAGCGTGTTACGATTCGGGTCGGTGAAACGCGGCGAAACGTTAAGCGAAACGCTTCCTTCGTTATGCATATGTTACGATAATTTGGTTAATTCGCGATTTAAGAGAGCAATGAAATGGAGCACGAGGGTTAGGAGGGAAGTAAGTAAGTTTAGCGACGTATATCGTTCACGGATTGACAGGAGGCAACGGAGCATACACTCGAAGCGGCACAATGTACCGGTTAAATTTATCTTAGAGCCGGGCTCGAACGATAGTGCAAAGCCATAAATCTGTAGTATAAAGCGGTACCTGATTTGTTGCCGGCTGTTGCCGTGTGGGTGAGCGTAGCTGCTGCGGTCAGCTTAGGCGGTTCTATCTTCTGCGGCATGCTGTGCGCCGGTATAGGGCCAGGATTCGTCATGGTGGTCATGGTGGTGGGCATCATCAAGGTCGACATGGTCAGCATCTTCGGGCCGTTCTCGTTTCGCCGAACGGCGAACGTGTTTCTCCTCCTCACCGTTTCGTCACGACGTGATGACCCGTTGTACGACGATTACTGTCGGTACGCGCCACCGCACGCCGAATTTTCCACGGCGTTACGACCCTCCTGCTTCCCCTTCTTTCTCCTCTTCCTCCTTCGCCTCCTTCTCCTCCTCCTCCTCCTCCTCCTTCTCCTCCTCCTCCTTCCCCGGCTCTCGATCGAGGAGACGGTATCGCGTCTTCGGACGATTGAAAACGTGAAGCACGTTTAGACGGCCGAGAAACCGCGATGACGGCTAAGCGTGGATCGATCGTTTATGGCCCGTATCGAGAGTGGCATATTACCTCGGTGTCGGTAATAAATATTTTGAAAAGACCAACTGGTGTCACAATCACAATCGTGTTTTCGCGCCGTGTGTCGTGGTGAACGGGAGAATCGGAGTACTCACCGCATACCATCCGTCTACGCGGCGTCTATTTATCGCGGCGTCACCAAGATCGCGCTAACTCCTCCCCCTCGCCACATTACTTTACCATCCTGGCCTCGCGCTCCACACTGCCTCGCCTCGCATCCGCTTCCTCTCTCGCGATCTTCCTCGAGAGAATCCTCCCCCCCCGAAAACTTTCTCGCGGCTTCTCCCTCCTCACCACCTACCCTTCTCCGTTTACTCCGTTCAATCTCCAACCACACTCCGAAACACGAAAATCTCTCTCTCTCTCTTTCTTTATCCTCTATATATCTATCTATCTATTCGTCTTCCAGATTTTCTATTCGATCCGAGATTTACAAATCTCTCTCTCCAAATCCGGGTCCACCATCCGTGACGCGACACGAGCTTCCCCCAAAAAATCAAAAAAAATCACACGTGGCTCGAGGTTTCCTTCTTCTCTTGCGATTCTTCTACGATTCCACCCGATCGACGAATCAATCACCACAATCAAGAGCCACCACCAACTTCCCCTCCCTCTTCTCGTCTCACTCACTCGAACAAGTTTCTTTCTCTCTTTCACACCCTTTCCTTCCTCCTCCTCCTCCCCCTTCTCTTCCCTTTTCACTTCTCACACTTTCCTCTTCTCCGCCCGACGTCTAATGATCGTCGCCAAGGCTGTGTCAATCGAGAAAACCGCCAACGACGCGAACACTGTCGTTACGTGTCACCAGCAGGAGAGGAGAGTGTGTCGGGTGCGTGAACGGCACACGCGGTGTGCTGGCGCGT